CTGCACCCTACAGTGCTCGGCCTGTTTCTATGAGCTTGACCCTACTCTGGGAGGACAAGGAAAGGTGTGGAGGCTTTGCTGGGAGGTCGGGAAGGTGTGGACCTAGACTGAAATCCAGTGAATGTTGCAGGTTCTCTGCTCCAAGCAGATGCCCACCTCAAGGCCTCTGCCCCCTCCCCGGCCCACAGAGGCACCCCAAGCATTCCTGCTGTGAATTCCTTAGGGCTTCATGGTCTGACCCCCAGAGAAAATGATGCATCTGCTGGGGGTGCAGGGGGCAGGACAGCAGACCTCTGCACTGCTGATTTTAGCAGGAAGCATTCTTCCAAAGGCTATGCATGCAGACTCGGCTCAGGTCTCCTGTATGACTGAGCAAGCTGCTTTGCTGGTTCCTTTCTGAAATGCTGCCTTAAAGTCCCACTAGGATGAGGGGAAGAGACTTAAACCTGAGATCTGCCACCCCTGGCCTTCCGTGTCTCACCCACAGGTGTGTTTTATTTGGCTCACAAAAAAACTAGCTTTGAATGTGGCTTTCACTACTCACTAGAGCTCCTGCCAAGTGCCCACAGCTATCCTACACCCATCCTGCTCGCCTGGTTCTGAGCGCATGTCCCCTGACCTATCACATCACGTTCAGGGGCAGAGAGGGGCAGAGACAGGGAATCTTTCTCAGGGGTCCCAAACCCAGGCCCAAGGCTACAGTTCCCAGTCTCTCCGTTACTCTATGTGACCACGGAAATCATAAGTCTACAAATACCATATTAAGAGGTCTTGGCTGTAGACCAGCAGACATTTTTCCAACACTGACTTACATCTCCAAAGATATTCACTTTAAATAAGCAAAAGCATAGTCCATTTAGTTTAAATATCTTGAGATTTTTCCAGCTACCAGACCACTCAAGTGCGCAGAAGATGGAGTAATTGGTAGGATTATTAATGTTTCTTTGTTTTCCATGTGACCACTTTGTTCAAGGTAGAGGAATTTGCCAACAATGGCACAGCCTGCATCATGCTTGTTACTAATATGATGGCCAATTAATCCTGACATGGGAGCTTGGCGGGTTACCCAAAACCCAGTATTTTATCACCTCAGGGGGTTAGCACTTAGACACTTCCATTACATTTTATACTAATCAATCAACGTTCCTTTTTCAAAGCACAGCCTTTCATAGGAACCACAGATGAATCCTACATGCACCACACCGTGGCCATACATTCCCGCAAGCAGAATTGTGTCTGGTTTGTTGATAATTACACTTCGAAGCAGACTTTTGAAAATGTTTATTCGTATTTCTTCCCTTCCAAGGGGGAAATCTATCTCAAATGTTAAGACAGAAACTCTAGTCCCCAAGAGTTTTCTCATATTATTGTATATTTAAAAATATTACAAGAGGGCCCTTCTCAAGGGAGGTGAACTTTAGAGCTGCCAGAGATAGTTGACTTTCTCCAAGTCTGTTACCAATGGATCCCAAGCTGGTTGAAGTCAGCTCTATTCTGAGAAATGACATGTGTGGCTGGGACAAACGCCATGCTAAGATATTTCTAGGACCCTCTGGCAAATGGTAATTTATCTGGAGACAGCCAGGCAGGCAAAGGAAGGGCAGATGGGGAGAATGAATCTCCTGGGAACCCCACACCAAGGCAAAGTCTTAAATCAGCTCGAAGGACCACGTTCTTGGGGTGAAGGCCCATCACTCAATGCTCTCATGCCCCCAATCCTAACCTCAAATGATCCCTTCCACCATTCTTCATATAGGTCATCATCAGAAGGCCATCAGGTTGCAAAAACTTTTACTGGCAAAAAAAAAAAGTTTGACTGACTTCAGTCCTTCCTCTATCTCTGGTTTTTGCTCCGCACCTCACTATCCATTTCTAACCCCCCAAAAAAGCCCCACGTGCCCGGGTTCATAGAACAGACCGTGCTGATTTTGGTTTCACTAGCCTCTTCTTGCCTCAGTTGCCTCCTTTGTAAAAGGGAAGGATGTCTGCCACACTTGACTCGTGTGGCTTCTGAGAGGAGAAAAGGGGACAAAGCCCGCAACACGTTCTGGAAAATATAGCACACCACACCACGACAGTATTCCCTACCATGCCCCGACTGCCGACCCCCAGGCAAGGCACAACACCACCGTCCATCTCTGCAAAGGAATCACGCGGCCAACTAACTTGGGATCAGGTGTCGCACGTGACATTTGTGAAGCACCATTCTGGAGCGTTCGCTGTGCCCCACTGAATCCTCCCAACTGTAGCAGCTAGGTCACACTCGTGCTTTGTAGAAGAGGATACTGGGGCTCAGAGGGGTTAGCACTTGCCAAGGCCTCAAAGCTGGTGAGGACGGAGCAGGGTCTGACGTGGGCTTGTCTTCCAAGAAGCCCACAGCCTCATCCCCTGCCTCACGTGTGCAAACATGGCTCAAGTCGGCAGGTGTCTGGGGTTCCTGTGGAACCTTTCAGGGCCCTCTGGAAGCAAAATGCTGGTTAGCTTCAAGATATGTGGATACTGCTTGTATCTGGAGAAGAGAGGTGTGGCCATCCCTCATTTCTGGCCAGTCCCACACCTCCACGTCCCCCTCTGCCGAGAAGTTAAAGGGCACCCTGAGATAAACGCACTCTTCAATTTCGCTTTTGCCCCATTTACGAAGCAGAGTTCCTACCACTAACACAGGGAAAGGAAAGGCAGGGATTCTCCGGAGAGCTCCTGTGTACCCTGACGTTGCCAGGGCAACCCTGCCATTTACACAGCCCTGCTGGCAGGGAGGGGTGGCGGGCAGGAAAGTGACCTGTGTCGGAGGCAAAGCTGTGGTTGTCTGTGTGGCCGAGCCCAGCACTGCACCATGGAAAGCCAGGAGCAGAGACGGGGGCAGGGGGGCTGGGGAGGCAGGGACCCCCTGTGCTGACGACTCCTCTCCTGCTCACGTGGGAAACCCTCATTTCATGGAGTTCCCAATGATGACTATTCTGAGATGTCATTCATTAACTTAGAATAACCTTCTAAAAATGTTGACAAGCTGCATCTTGCCTGTTATTCTAAGTTCACGGAGGAGTACTTTTTTGTTCTTGAATGCCCATCTCCATGAAGTTTCCAAAACACAGAACGGACTGAATAAACAGACTGAATGCTGGCTCTGCAATCACCCTCTGTGCATCTGGACATGTGCAGAGAAGAAGCTGGTTTTGCTGCATCCAGAGCACACCTTTTCTCCTGGTTAGAAACCACCACTGGCCCACCTTATCCTATCCTATCACCTTATGATGATAGGGTCCTATCCCTCATCTGGTCACTTCTCTTTATTGACACCTGAAACTGAGGGGGCCCAAAGAACACAGAAGGCTGACCCAGGAAGAAGCCAGGCATCGGGCACTGAGCACCGGGCACAGCCAGATGTGAAGAAGAGACCCTGTACCCTGCCTGACTCCAGATCTGCCTCCAATTGGCCAGGGGACTTCGTACAAGTCACTTCCCTTCTCTGAAACTCAGGGCCTGCTGCAGAATAGAGCAGTTGGATGTCACAGCATCCCCCGAGCCTCCTCCTAGTTCAGGCATTCGCTGCACAGTGCCTTGGAGATGGAAGTGCTCAGGAAATGCTTTGAAGTAGGAAGAACATCTGGCTGGCCTTGGGCTGTGTGGTTTCCCCATGTGCCCTCTCCTTAGTGTTGTGTATGAGTGAGCGCATCTGAGAGTGTATGTTGGGGGTGGAGACCCAGGAGGACAGAGGACAGACACAAAAGCTCAGATGAATGACATGGAGGATACCCAAGAAGAGGGGAGACATTGGGGTGAGGATATATCAAGTAAATCAGAAGTAGAAAAACTGCCTGACACATTCTAGGGAACAAAGTGGGTTGTGGGACAAGGTGGTATTTGGCCAAAGAAGCCTAATGGTGAGAATTCCAATGAGGCCAACCTTTGGCAGGGGAATGAGATATACTCCAGTGACAGCACGGTGCCTGGCACATAAGCTACACAAATGTCCTCTTGCCCAGCACGACAGGAGGCAGATGCCACCATGTAGTCACCACTACCCACAAAATACAGAAAAAAAATGTGAACAGAATGAGGCTATTGGATTCTGAGTGATGCTTCTGTGACCCATTAGCTCTGCAGATCTGAGCAAAAGTGTTAGCTCTCTGAGCTCCCACGTCCTCAAATGAAAGAACAAGGCTACGATAGTATAGTAGTAGCATCTCCTGCATCATCAGGAGGATAACATTCAAAGAGGCAAAGAATGTGGGGATATTTTGTGAATGTATGATTAGGTAATGTCTTACTGAGTAGCTGAATACTCATTACTATGAAAGATCAATAAAAAGGCAGAATAACACTCTGCTTTTGATGAGAGGCAGGAGATCACCATTTGTATGTTGCTGTAGATCTGCCCTTGCAACCTGGATTAACTCCAAAGAAGTTTCTTGACCATTCTCACTAGTATCCAGGTACACGCCTGGTTTTGCAGGGCAACTGCTTTTGTTTGCGGAAGAACAAACCCATCCAGGACTCCACATACGAGTTAATGCTTCACTAGTAACACTGTCTCTGGTTTACCTTTGGAGAAAGTTAAGTGAATACACCACATTATGTGCAAATGGCAGTGATGGTGACAAAACCAAGAACTCCTTTCTTTTCAAAATGCTGCTGCTTTGTAAAGGACACAGAATAAGCACAGTAAATACATAAATAGCCAACCCAACTCTACCTCCCCATGAACAAAAACTTTAGGGATGCATCCACCCAGACCCTCATTTCATAGGTGACGAACTTAGGGCCAGATGCAAGTGCCTTGACCAAAGCCACACTCCTAGGAAGTGGCAAAGTCAGTTCCACAGTCTGTCTTTCTCTCTACTATACGACACATCACAATCTCCATTTATTATGTTTAAAATGTGGCTTTAAGATTCAAACCTAAGCAGCATTCACCATCTATCTCTAAATGTATCTCAGTAAATGAGTCTGTGCTGCTCCCAGAAGTGAGCTCCAAGAGAGAATCTGGACCCAGTTCTCACCTGTAAATTTGCACAAGGTGGTAAAACATGAGTGGGGATTTCATTCTCAGAACCTGCTGGCCCCGGGGGCTTGTTCCTGACCCGGAAGGCTGTGGTGGTGGTGGCAGTGGTGGTCTGTACTGGGAGGGCTGGCTGCCACACAGTCACATCAGAGCCATTGCCAAAGGCTTGAATTGCATTTTCTGCAGTAAAACAGGAGGAAATCCAATTTCAAAGTCAAGCAGCAAATGTAACAGACAGGATACACACAGCCAGAGAGGCACAGAAATTCTGATTATAGCACTGGACTTCTCTGAACAAAACCCATCCATCCATCGGCCCTACGTGGGTTGGGAGCCAGTCTTTGGGGTCAGGTGCTCAAAAATCAATTCAGTCATTAAACACTGAGCTGGACACTTAGTTATGGTTCAAATGCAAAAAAATATTTATTGTATTCCTATTTATGTGCCAGGCGCTGAGCAAGATCCTTGCCCTGAAATTCTCATCAGTCAAGCCTTTTGAAATCCCGCTTCAGATCTGTTCCTTGGGATCACGACGGTCCCATTTTCCAAGAAAACCTTGTGCTCTGTCAAAACTATATACTAAAAGCAAACTAATTAGTGCTTTTTTTAAAAAAATACATCCCTAATCATGAGACAGAGGTCACTTGGTGGCATTCACAACTGATTTGGCAGGCAAAATGCAAGCGGTTCCTTTAAAGAAAAATCTACCTCAAATCTCATCAATATCTAGTGAAAATTTAAGAAAGATTATTTTTTTCGTTTTTGCTCCCAGTCTACCAAACAAAATCTGCATAATTAGGTAGGAGCAGCTCTGTTTAAATGAAAAGTTTAAAATGCAAAACTTTAAAAGCTTATTACAATTTCATGGGATTAGATTGTTTTTGTGGCAAGAGTAAATTGGCTGTGTGTTGTTCCCCTCCCCAAAATGAATAAAAAACAGTTTTTAATCAGGTCTTCAGGGATTTGGCCTGGATTTAGGAACTTTTTTATTTCATTTTCATTGTATAAGAAATCAAATTCCTCCATTTGGGACCTGAATGTGCAAACTGTTAATATATGACTCTTAGTTCGCATTTTTTCGATATGCAAGACAGAATAATTTAAGCCTCATCTTCCTCCTCGAAGTGACATTTTGTTCTAAAATTGTTTTCCTTTAAGTTCAGCAAATTGGAAGCTTGTTTTGTACAATTTGGGGGGGCGGGCTGTAAGAAACAGCTTCAAATTAATGTAAATGCTTTTTATGCTCCTAGCTGTGGCTTACCCGGTGGGTGGAAGGTGCAGAAAGAGGTATGTACAAACCAGTTTCCTTAGATGGCCCCAGAGCAGCAACAATAAAAGCCCTTCCTTTTTCTTATTAGGACATGTTGATGCAAAAGACTCTTGCCATTTGTTAAAACTACCTGTGCTTTCCCCAGTGGTTGCCTTGCCACTTGGGAGTTTGTTTGTTCACGTGCTGGTTCATTCATTCATTCAAATATTAATGGGACATCTACTAAGTGCCAGGCACTGCTCTGTGTGCTAAACATACAAGAGAAAACAAGGGCAGCAATGAAAGATGAAAGCCCCTGTCCTCCTGGAGGTCACAGTCTGCTTGGGGAGGTAAATAAGTAAAATATGTAATGCATTAGGTGGTGAGAAATGCTGGGAGAAAAATAAAGCAAGGGGTGAGACCGGGAGCACTGAGGTGGGAGGAGGGAGTTGATATTTAGATAAAGCAGTCCAGGCAGGCTTCCTGGTGAAGGTGCCATCTGAATAAAGACTTAAGTGACAGTAACTTATATCTCACCTCCACCTCCATACCGTTCTTCTCTCTTCCCCTTACATCTGCCACGCACTTGGCTTGAAAATAGCTGTTTCCTCCCCGCCAAAAGAAGGAAATAATAGGTTGGAGTTGTCCATGATAGGGGAATTTGGGAGAGGTGTGGCTTAACCTGAAGGGAGTAGAACTGGATTTCTACATTTGGGTTGGAATCTACAAATTCCAATTTCTTCTACTTTAGAGGCTTTGCAAGAAACTGAATTTACAGCCCTGCGTCTTTGGTGCTGTACGTCCCATTTAGTCACAGTATAGATGAAATGACTGTGAAAAATTCTAGCTGGCTTTGGCCCCTGTTGCAGACCAAATGCATTTATTTTTATTGAAAAGTTATTAGCAATAAGATACCAGACTTTTCTCCCCTTCACCAAAATGTTATTAAACAGGGACAACTTTAATTTCTCTGTAAGGGAGAAGTTTTCTAGCCAGCCTCAGTAAAATCTTTTCTCATACTGACCTCTATTGTCATTGTTTTATCTTCATTAAAACTTGCATTCTGCCAGAAGAGTGCAGGATGTGAAAAAGAGTGCAGACACATATAAATATATATGTGTGTGTATATATGTGTGTGTGTGTGTGTGTGTGTGTGTGGAAGAGTGCAGGATGTGAAAAAGAGTGCAGACACATATAAATATATATGTGTGTGTATATATATGTGTGTGTGTGTGTGTATGTGTATATATATATATACACACACATATATATTTTAAAGACCAAACAAGAGGTCCAAGATGCAATTCCTTGGTTTGTCCAGTGTCTTAACGAATGCCTTCCTACTTGCAACCAGTTTTGTGGGTTTGAATTTCATTTAAGAATCCAAAAGCTTGCTTTATTTTTAAGAGGACCAAAGCAACTGACTACAGTGACATTATTTGAAGTCCCTAGTCAGTCAATGACATAGATTTCTCTTTCCAATAAAGGAAATGAAGAAGAGGTTTTAGCAGTAATACTCAAAAGCTTTTTGTGTGTGTACATGGTAAATTATAGCTAATGACTTAGAAATCAGTCATCATACATCTGAGCATCATGGAGCAATTGTCACTTGAGGACAGGGCTTTCAGAGGGTTGGCTGAACCTTGATTTCTAGAAACAGTCCATCTCTCACACCAGGAAGCCAGACCTGGTCCCTGATGTGCAGGCCCATGTCCTTGTCCAACAGGCTCTTCAATATCAGACATGAACAAAGTCCTTAGGAGACAGAGGGCTGCAAAAGGAACCCAGGCTTTGGATCCTAACTCTGACATGGATGGTCTATGTGAATACCCAGCTGTAAGATGGAGATAATAATAGCTATGTCCCCTAGGACTCTTGTGCAGATTGCAGTAAAGGACGTAATGTATATTAAACTCCACACAGAGTGAGTTTGAACACCTCGAAGGCACCCAATCACTGGTGGCTGCCATAAACATGGGTGAAATTTTCAAGCACCTCAGCTGGATTGTCACCTAGCGGATGCACGTCAGGGAGATCTGGCACAGTGCTTTTGGAATTTTTCTAATGAATGCCTGTTGTTCACACCCGTATATTTCTCTCAATCCTTGTCCCTTTGGGAAACATGTTTCCAAATTGCCTAAAGAATTCTGAAATAATAACCGATTCTGTTTCCAAGCAGGAGCACCATCCCCCCACCAAGTGTTTATCTCATCTCCCGAGATAACCAACATCCTGAGTCCCCTGGCCGCGTGGCAGGTTTATCCCACTCAGAACTGCTGCTTCTCCTCTGAGCCAGCCCTCAGCATCCACGGGGCTATTGATGTTAACATTCTAATTTTTCTCAGAGAGTCCTCGGAGGCCTAGCCCCATCTAATTTGTCTGAGCTTCTCACATTGTATATTCCACGCAGGTTTCAAGAACCTTTGGAACAGACTCTCTGCTGGTTGCCAAGATCAAAATTTGATCTGTGGGTAGAGGCGTTCTCTGAACACATAATGTGCCCCCAGTTATATGAACCTCTTGCTCTCTCAGGCCGTTAGGCTCCCGCTCTTGGCGGCACCCAGTTCATCCCTTGCTTGGTTCCCCACTGTCTTACACGGTGTAGCCAAAAGGAGCCAGATTCACTATCCCTGATCAGGAAAAAGGGGACAGAGAAAGACAAACAGAGAAAGCAGACAAAAGAAACAAGGAGGCACATACAGCTTGAGTTCGGAGAGGAAAACATGCTTGTCTGTTTCTTATTTTTAAAAAACTCACTAAGACATGTATTATCCTTGAAGAAATTCAAAAATTTCAAGCACTCTTCCAAGTCATTCCCGCTGTTGTTACAGTCGCACCACGGGGCCACGCTGAGGCTACTGGAGTCTATGTAGTTGGGAGTCATGACTGTGCCTAAAAGAGTAAAAACAAGGTATTTTATTCTTGTGTGATGATACAGACTTTTCTAAAGCCTAAAAAGAAGCAAATGGTCCTCTGACGGTGGATGCACTGTGGATAATTACAAACATTGTGTTTGCTGAGTGAGAAATTATGTTAAGCAGTGCATTTTCTTGGCAACTTATCTTGAGCATGTGAAATAATTTACACATTTACTTTAAAAATTTTAACAGAACTGCTTGAGCTACACTTAGGGTATTTTATTTTATTCTATTTTATTCTTGCCCAAATGGTATGGATGTCATGGAGTAGAGAATTAACCAAGAATGCATGAGTTGCCAAATCCCTTGCATTTTCTTGAAAATGTCATTAATCTTCAGAAATAGATAGAACTGGGCTTACATATCTTAAAAATCCTTTTAGAACTTTGAATCCACTTCGCTCAGAAGCCAATGGCTTTTTTAGAGTAACACAGGGAAGCTAGAAGCTTCCTAGGACTTACCCCACGTCATGAATGTATAGAAATGTACATATCGAGTCTCCTGCTTACCAGATTCTCAACTGATTTAAATAAAGTCTTCCAAGTTGTAAAAGAATTGGAAACAAACAGTAAAAATCCTCCAAACCAATGGCTTCTAGAATATTGTCTCTAGATCCTCCATAGTCCTCAGAGAAATGCTGGGTGGTCCTTCCTGCCTACATCTGGTGGTATTCATGGTTTTTCTGATGAATTCTATACTGGCACAAACACATAATGCATTTATACTTAATACAACCCAAATGTATTCAGGGTGGCTCATACCAGGCAATGCCCACTGATGCCAAGAAGTCTTCTGTTTTTATATATTTTGTGGAAGTGAGAAGTAAAAGTTGGTCAGTAATCCACAGGATATATTTGGTTCACAAACAGAAAAACTATTTTTTGGTAAGCTCCTCTGGGTCAAGGGCATATTGCCATTGCCCTATATTCTTTACTGACTTAAACTAAATAATATCCCATCATACCTTGAGATGAGAATTTTAACCCAAGCACAGAGAGGAAAGAGGCACCCCAAACACGGAGTGTGGAGGCTGAGACCATTGTATGCCTGACCTTATTGTGGATCCCTAACATATGGAAGAAGTAGAAACAAGCTTTGTGCAGACAAAGTTAGAATCCAATGACCCAGGAACCAGCAGAGAAGGAGAGAGCCAGACCAAAGAGAGAAACCACTTTCAGTCTGTAGAGTGCCTGCCTCTTCTAGGTGTTCCCCCTTTTCACCATCCTCAGGTATGTAAGGGTTTGCCAAGCCTAGTAATAACCTCACAGAAATGCTGGCAGTAGCTCACCTTGGCCACTCACAGAGGAGTCAATGAGCTTGTATGCCTGGAAGGACACAGACCGAAGTGTGAACAGTGATTACACTGGGGAGTGGGATTGTAGATACCTAACATTTTGTTCATGGACTCTTCTGTATTTTTTAAAAATTTTCTACAATAAGTATATCTTAATTACTTCTGTTATTTCTGTAATTCCATAGTTGATAAATTAATCCCCAGTAGAGACTAACTTATTAAAGAAGAGGAGTGAGTGCAAATTTGGAGCACAGGCTTAAGGATCGTACACTCATTGGCCAGGTCAATAAAAATGGTAAATAACTGGCGAAAGGTATCACTCAAGGAAGCACTGTCCTTTCAAAGAAGTTGGGAGTAATGAATGGACCAGGAACCTGTGAAATCCCTGCATTAAGTACTGTCGTCGTTACCTTCATTGCTTTTCCCAAAGGCTCCTACTGGAGACACTCTGGTGGCAAAGACTTTAGTCTGTGCTGTCATTCTTGGTGGGAGGTTCTTCCTGCTCGTGACATGTGTGACCCTGACACAGACACCCGGCAGGAACACTGTCGTTACCTTCATTGCTTTTCCCAAAGGCTCCTACTGGAGACACTCTGGTGGCAAAGACTTTAGTCTGTGCTGTCATTCTCGGTGGGAGGTTCTTCCTGCTCGTGACATGTGTGACCCTGACACAGACACCCGGCAGGAACACACACCCTTGCTGAGCCATCACGCTTCTGACAATTGTGATTTCCCTTGCCCTTCCACACCCTTCAATGTGTGTTCCTTCTCAGATGTCAACTGTGACAGAGCCCTGTCACCAAGGCTTCTACTGTCCCTGGTACCTGAGACACCTGCCTTTCCTCCTGCGGCCCTGTTTAGCCATGGGCACAAGTTCACCTCCCTTTCTGACTCTCTTCCCACTCACCAGTGTCTTGTTTCATCGCACTGTTTTCCCAAATGCTGAGAACATGGTTCTTCTAAAGCCTCCGGTCTTGAAAAACAGAACACACTGTTTCTGCTATGTCTGTTTTCAGCAAAAAATTTAGCCTAAATCACCCCCTGCACACTGGGAGTTGAATTACCAAGAACATTAATGGCAAGAAGGACCCAAATATTTAGGGTTATTTCCAAAGAGCCATTTCTGAGAAACAGCCTTTTTGATTTGACTAGATTGAATGACTCCCAAGCTCCCTTTCTCCAAAGTTCCCTAATTCAATTAACTTTGACCTGCTCTCTTCTCCATAACCAGGCTTTTCCCCTACTTTGGTTCTGCGTGGTCAGTTCCCCAACTGAGACGCTTTGCACGCCTTCCACTTGCAGTATTCCTGCTCCTTAATAAACCTGCTCCCTGCCTTTGCCTTTCACACATCCATTATCTTTTTTTTTTTTTCCTTCTTTTACAGGTGAGTCCTAAAGGGCCTATTATCAAAACCCCAGCACAGAGGGTTACCAGGAGATTTTCACTTTTGCAGGCATCAGCAGGCTACAGTGCAAAGAGTGCAGGTATTTGTAAACCCGGCCCTTCTCCCCTCCTGATCCTCCCCGCTCGTACCAATAAGCCCCGAGTAGGCGAGGAGGCAGTCAGCGTAGTTCTCCTTCAGACAGCTGCTCACAGACCTTGACTCTGGCTGGCAGTTGGTAAAAAAATCCGCAAGGCGAGATCTACAATAGAAAGAAAGCGGGGGGGAGATGTGCTTTAAAACATCCTAAGCCTCTGGACAGACATAACTTTTCTTTATTCCTCTGTTGATATGCCTTGTTACACCTACACACAAAATATTGAAATGGGAGCTATTAAAATGTTGGCCTCTTTCCTTATACAACCCCCAACTATCCCCTCCCCGAGCCCTCGCCCACCTGTGTGTGTCTGCTTATTTGGAGAGAAGTCTTCAGGGCCTATAACTAGAGAAATGTAAAGGCTTTGAAGTTGCCATTCAATATTTATTTCTGACTAGACTTATTTGCATCTTTAGGAAATATGCTTCTCCACACACTCACCGGAGACCCACACTGGGAAAATATTTACTTTATACAGAAACATGTCCCTGGCATCAAAATAGGATCCTACAGCCCATCTGCTCCCATAATTCCTACTGGCTTTAAGAACACTTGTATCTGTCTCATAAGTCTTCTCTCATCTACCAGCCCAGGGGGCAGTGATTTATCCCAGCCGGTGACACTGAGGGGGAGCTTGCCTTTCAGGAAAGGAAGGGAAAGGCGACAGGGTCAGGGAGGATCGCTCTGGGCGCAATCGTGGGCCTTTGGTTGGAGGCACTGCCCGGAGGGTGCACAGATCAAAGTGCAGCACCTGTGTGCACTTGGGGAACTTTCCAAGGATTGGCACTTTCCACCCAGAAGCCCTGGGTGGTAATGAAGTTGCAAAGACCAAGAAGTGGAGAGAAGCTGCAGACACGCTGGTCTGGGAGGAAGAGGACTCTTTGTGGCCAACTGGCTGTTTTTCATTCTGAAGAGGATATTGTTGGAGAAATTCTGAATGAGAGCTGAGCCACCTCTGAGGTCATCTCAGCAGACAACAGCTCTGTTCCTATGGAAGAACATAATGGAATTCACGAGAATTTAAATTACCCGACGATTATGAGAGACAATGGGAGGTTGTCTCGGTTTTCTTCTGTCTTTTGCTCACCAGAGTTGGCTGCTGACATTCCCAAGGCTATTTTTACTTTTTTTCCACCCAAGAAACTGTATTTACTTAGCATACTTTATGGTATAAACAAGCTTGAGATGGTGGGGCCACGCAGTGTAGCATGTGTGGGGATCATGACGGTTTGTAGGAAGCACATTATGCATCCATTTTCTACAATTTTAACTAGAAGGGGAGTTAAAAGGCCTTATGACATTATCTGAGTCCACAGTACACTGCAAAGGCCACAGGGTGTTCATGTGGGGTTGGTTCTCCCATTCAACCTTTGTAAACGAGGTGTGCCCTGCCTCCCTGTCTATGCTGATCTGGTGTGCTCTGTGTGTTGTGCGCCTGGCTCCAACACGACGAATCCCTGGAGCGGGTGCTGGATGTCTGCTTTATTTTCTTTCCACAGCACCTGACACTCCTCAGAGAGGCCCTTCACAATGCTTCCCGAGCAAGGCCATGTGCTGAAGCTAAGCAGCTTGGCCAAATCCTCCAAATGAGGCTGTGCATGCGTGTGTGCGCGCCTGGATCTCAAACCACGGTCTATGCCTCGCTGGTGTTTTCTGACTTTAATTGAACACACTGAAAGATATAAAACCTGGCTATTTTCTGTAGCCTAGTTAAAGGATTTATTTTGTGGAAGAAATCCCTAAAGGTGGCTCAGGCTTACTCAACTGGCTCCAATGGCATCCAGCTTGGATTGAGTGTTAATTTCAGAAGAATTTTCCTGGTCATGAAAGTTAATGATCTAGTGGTACTGGGCTTCTAACTTTGCAAAGGCCAACTGCGGTTCCAGCAGCTGGGGCTCCAGTTCTGCACACAACCTGGCCCGCTGAACAGCTCTCTGACCTGACAGCCCCAGGCTCCCAGCCTATCCCCAGAGAGAGATGAAAGGTCGCTCTATCTCTGCGTGTCCTGTTTCTTGCAGTCTCTCCAGCAGACTATTAACTGAACAACACTGTGATGCGGATTACTATCCTTCAGCGCGAGGTTAATGCCACTAGACTCATTTTGCTTAACAACCTCAGAATTAACTCACAATTGGACGCTGGAATGAAAGGCTAATTGAGCCAGTCTGCTGCAGAAAGCATAGACCCAATTGGGAGGATAAAACTAAATACACTGCTCAAAGCAGAACCCCAGGCAGGCTGCTTTTTGAGAGAAGATGGTCAGCACATATCTTGGCCCTACAACAAACACAGCCAGTGGATGCAAAGAGCTTCAACATAAGAGCACATACAGCATTGTTAAAACGTTAACATGTCCACAACTCTATCTGATTTGACCCACCTCCTTCTGACATTTATATCTGCAGACATGATGGTCACATTATAGGATTCACATTTTACAGATAGAAAAACTGAAGTAAGAAGTTTATTCTGAGTTATGCTTGGGCCAGCTCATTACTGGCCGACTGTTACATTTTCAGGAATTCCCTGAGTTGGTTAACATCACAGTGATAGCTTGAACATGGACATAGTGGGAGAATTTACACCACAGTAATCAGCAAACACTATAAACCAGGGCTTTGCGCTATTCTTGGAGAACTGGTTGTTAAATACAAGGGTACTTCAGAAAGTTCACGGAAGGATTTGTATTACCTTTCAGTTCTATTTTTCCATGAACTTTTTGCAGTATCTTTGTAGTAGTGGAGTCAACATGTACGGTTTTAAATCCTGGTTCCACTACTATTTCCTCTAGTCTAACTTTACTGAGCCTTCATTTCCTCATCTGTAAAATTAGGATAATAAAATAATAGCACCTATCTCATTATAGTTGTCAGGAAAAAATACACAGTATGTAAAACCATATACCTAACATATACTAAATATTTAATTTGTGTTAGATATTATCTAGTATTGGCGTATAATTTTATCATATAATTTTAAACACTACAGAGCTACAGAAGCTGGTTTCAGAGAGGCTGTGATATTGGGACCAAGCCTTCAAGGATGTGTAGGATCTGTCAGGTAAAGGTGGAGGACGGTATTCCAGGCAGAAGGAAACAGCATGTGATAAAGTAACAACCACACTCATAATAATCCCAGGGTAACAATTATGGAGTGTTGGTATGTGCCAGGCACTGATTTAAGTGCTTGACATGTATTGAAACATTCATTCAACCCTCACGACAATCTTATTAGGTGATACTACCAGACCCATTTTACAGATGAGGAAACTGAGGCATGGAGAAGTTAAGTAACTTGCTATAGGTTGTAGAGCTTGTGGTGGAGCTGGAATGTGACCACATTCGATCTGCCTCCACAGCTGGAGATCATTCTCAGCCACTACACTAACACATGCATTGTCCAAAACATTGCTAGTTGTCCTCTCAGGATGGCCAGACACAGGATGCAAACAGAGAGTGTTGGGAGATGATGCTGGTAAGATCTTGAAAAGTCCTAAATGCCCTAAGAGTTGGGACTTTATCCTAAAAGCAGTGGGAGCCACTGAGGGATTTTAAACAGAGAAGTAACATAATCACATTCGCATATTAGGAAGATTCTCTGTTCTCTCGGTTGTTCAGCAAAGATTTGCTTAAGAGCTACCATGTACCCTCTCTGTTCTAGCAGCAATGGAGAGAGCAGGAAGCTGGCCAAAGTTGGGAGGGACGGCTCCCTAGGAGACTGGCCACAAACCAGAGCAAAGAACTGGGGGACTGAGGGGAAGAAGGAAGGAGCATGTGCTGAATGGTGGGTATGGCTAGAATGCAAGTCAAGCCTGCAGGAAGAGGGGCAGAATCAGGACACGGACAACTCAGCAGACAGTGGAGCAGTGGTGGGAAAGACAGGAGGACAGGTTTGCAAGGCAGAGAGTAAGGATGGTCATGGCTGCGTTGAGTTCATGGTACCGTGGGGAAGAGCTCTGGATCCTTCATCTGTCCAGGCACCAACGACTGCCCGAGCACCTACTGTATGCACAGCTCTAGCACCCCAGGACACCCCTTCTGCACACACACTCCCTGCCCACTCTGGTTATGAATCACACTGTAATTGGTTTCAATGGCTTCCCTGCCTCGGCTGCTGTGATCCAAACAAGGAAGCCTAAATGTCCGGTATGGGATTAACAAAGAAACTGCACAATTGGATTTCTTCTGGAGACATGAAATCTCCATGACTACAGCAGTGATGAGCCCTTATTGTTTTTCTCTGAGAAAATGAAAAGGAAATGAATAGGCACAAATGTGGAAATGTATCGCCCTCAGTGAGAGAAAATCTCCCACCCTTTAGAGAAAAAGGCAGGGAAATGCCAAAATGGCCTGAGGAAATCTGCGAAAAAAAGGGGGGTTTATACAGAAAACAACATCTTAAAGGAAGCATGCTGCTAACTGGAAATAGAAAAATGATTATAATGATAAAATCTAGGAGAGTCTTCTCAAACAGCAGATGGTCTTTTGACAGTCGGGGGGGAAATCGTTTACTTACTCTGCAACAGTTTTAGGAAAATAGTGTAATGGAGAGCAGGTAAAAACATACCACTAATGCCCAATTTAACTCATCCTGGATTATCATAATCTTTTAAATGTTTTTCCAGGACAAATCCCATACTTGGACCCAAGCCGTGTGGCTGGTGGAACTGAGCCCTGGACAAAAGATTGTGAGATCTTGAATGGGATCCAGGCTCTGATACTGATTAACCAGAGTTCCAGAGTATGTTCAACTTCCTAGTTCCTGGGAAATAGTCTATGGGACACTCCAGGTTCCCTAGAACACAAACGAAAAAACAGCCCTTATTTTCAAAACATTATTATTCTTACCCATATTCCATTCTGCCATTACCCGTGATTTTAGTGTCAAAGCATTTGGTTTCCTTTGAGTCTAAGGAACAAGGTTTTTCTAGCAGATCCCCACATCTCACAGACAAGACAGCCAAGGGCCAGAGAAGCTGAGTGCCTGCTCAGAGTCACATGGCAGGTGGCTGCAACGGCAGTCCCTGGAAGAGGAATTGCCAACTGCCTGTAACAGCACTGGAGGGGAGAAATGTAGAGGCTGTTTGACTTTAACTTCCCTGGGAT